TTCCGGAGGTTTAGTCCGATGCTCATGTCATGCACGTAACACCTACAGGCTTGCCAAAACTGTTTAAATGCGAAATCCTGATAGCCCACTCACAAATGCCTTGGGCCGAAGCCAACACACCTTACAATCGCAATAAGAATACTGGCAGCAGTTTCAGCAAGGTATGTGGTAGATGGTAATGATTTTCGCAATAAAGGTAATTTCAGTGACAGCAGTAGTCCAACAAAACAGTACTGGCACAGGACTCTAGTCACTCGATCCTGATGCCTACAACGCTGCTCGTACTTCCAGCCATACTAATTAAATAATGATCCGAATTAATTCGTAAGACTGGCGCAGACAAACCACCTCAGAAGGTTCGGGAGCAGGTGCAGCTTCCGATGAAACTGCCAGAGCCCCTGGCAGGAATGGGGCTCATCTGGGTGTAGGCCGTAAGGTTCGTCTCCTGAGCTCTTTGCCTAGGGTGTGGATTCCAAGGTCTCTTACTCGACGTCAGGCGAGGCTTGTGGTTAAGGGCTTCCCGTTCAGCGCCACTGAACCACGGAAGCTCACTTTGAAGCAAACAAGGCTTGAGGACTCGTGAAGTTTCCGGACCCATTCTCAGACTGGCTGACTGGTTTAGTGTTTGACAGGGAAAGGGCTTTAGGAAGTTTGAGACTGTCGCAGCTTGATGGAGTCTAGGTTTCGGTTCACTGCAAAAAACAGTGATGGCACTTGTCCCACAATGCCAACAACCACAACGGCCGTAGGATGGGAGCTGTCTTCCGACGCTGTCGACGAGTTCGGATCATGAGGATGCTTAAGAAGGATCTGGGAGGCATGTGACCGTGGGGTCGGGTTGGGCGCATCAGGCAAGCTTGGCAGCCTCTCTGTCGCTTCCGTCGCGGCGGCATGGCAAAGCTGCTGCTGTGATTGCGAAGCTGTAGCTGTAGCTGATCTAGGAATCTAGGCAGCCGTGCCTGAAGGATCCGCACTGCTTCTGTGTGTCAGGTCTTCCACCGCTGCTGCGGCTGCCGTATCCTGTCGTTTCCCTTTGGCGAACTTGCCTCGAGCCAATCGTGAAGCATGGCGGTGCTGTGAGCTCAGAGTTCACCAGGCAACACCATGACATGGGGTGAGGCAAGGCGGGAAGCTTTGATTGTAGTAGACTGGACTTTCCCGAACCGACTCTTCTTACGAAGGACACAATCATGAGGCTATACAGCCTATAGAAGCATACTTGAGTTCCTGAAGTGCATGTCGCCAGGGCTCCCGACTGAAAAGAGCTGTCAAAGAAACTGCCGACCTTGGCAAGCAGGTTGGTGGCTAGCGACGGAACCCTGAGAGCACTGAACTGAAACAAATCTAGCCACTGCCGCCTTGAATACTTGCTCCATCCGAGTCAGTGGAAGCTCCTGCTCTGCAATGCAGGGCCGGATGCTGAAATTAAATTCTTGAGGCGACCCCTTACCCTCTGATCCCTCTTGCCGTCTATTCCTTGCGTCCACGTCCATGCAGGATCCTACAAGAGGACCCTGCTTGCCGAGTGAGAGGCCACTCGCAGCCCGGCCTCGTCTTGCCCAAACTTCTTGCAGATGAGGAAGCGCAGAAAGCCGCATGGAGCCTGCAACATGTTCGTGTACTATACTTTACGAAACTGTACTATACTACATTATGTCAATATATTATATTATACTATAGTAAGGGTATCCCATTTCGCTCTGCCACACCGAGACGAGAAACCACTCGGGCACCTCACGCGGCAGCAGCAAAGTGCAGCTCGATTCCGCATCTGACTCCTCCATGGCTGCAACGGTTTCGATTAAGGGACCCTTGTGGATATAGACCCTCTCAACAAGGTCCCCTGTCAGAGAGCCGAAGGTCGGGTTAAGAAGGGTCCCTTTTAAGGGATCTCCCTAATGCTACCTAGGAGATCTGAAATCTGTGGATCCAAAGGCTCAAGCTCCGTTTCGGAATTGCCGGAGCGTTAGTGCAACTGCTGGCCAGGCTGCCTTCTTTCAGACATCTTACTTTTAGTGTTTTTTGCCTCCTGCATGGCTGAGCGAGACTATTATGAATATTGGTAGAATTATTAGTCATAATTGTCAATTCTTGGAAATTAGTAATAGCAATAGGATTCTTCGTGCTCTTATTAACACAGCATATTATAGCATGAAGTCTGCACTGGTGCAGAAGCCATTGGGGCTCCCTCCGCCCTACATTGAGCAAATCCTACCCATTGAGCAAATCCTGACCCCTTGAAGTAGCACAGGCGCCTTTACCATTAGAGCAGCAGCCGAAGCTGCTATATGGAATTTACATTCCGACACTCTCTCTCTCTCTCTATATATATATATATGTATACACACACGTATGTAAGTCTATAAAGGGACACTAGGAAGCTCCACCCTAAACCGCTCACTAAACCCGTGAACTCCTAAATCCTAAACCCGACGCCCTGTAAAACTTTTTTGTTGAACGTCCCTTTCCCGCCTCGAAATCCGAAAGCCTATAAACCTCAGACCCTCGCGGCTTTTTTCGGGCTCTCCTCGGAACCGAGGATCCGCAGCTGCATCTCGGCCACGCTGCGGAAGATCTCCGGAGGAGGATCCTCAAAAGGTCTGAACTTCAATACCACCAATAGACCAGGATAATACGAATTCTCATAACAAGAATAAGAAGACATCAATAATACTGAAACGAAGGAGCAGAAGAAGAGGCATCACAATCATAGTGATAGGTTGGCCCTGGAGAGTCTCTGAAATATTCGCAAATAACATCCTCCGATGCCCAACAAGAGAGACGACAGAAAATGTCCCGAAGGCCTACCTGGAATAGTGGTCTCTTTTCATCCCTATACTATATTGCAATGTAGCCTCTGTGAGAAATAGTCCACTGAAAGCTATGATACAAAGTAGACTCGGTGAGCTCCCCCCAAGCCTAGTGACCTGTATCTTGCCCCAGCATTATGAAGACGATAATCAGGCTTGCATGAGGTTCCACTGACAGTAACCCGCCTAGAGGAAACTTGATCGGATTTGGGGCCCTCAAAAGTGCCGTTCCGGGTCTGGTGTCCGTTTCATATCCCAAATACGACCTACACTCCGAGCTCTGTAGTATAGTTATAACGGACTCTAGAGTCTAGATACTACGCATACACCTATTATCATGTTGGGATACTCTTAATTTGTGCTGCATGCAACCCATACGCACGGCGACGATGGCCGTCTGCCGTAATGCCTAGAAGACCTAAGACCTACAAGCTTTGAAGCTTTGGGCGGACACACTGTCTTTAAGGCACCACGTCGGCAAGTGGAGGCCCAAACTCATTGCTCGTGGTCTGTGCTGACATGCAGCAAGGTGTTGGGGTTTGCGAGTCTTCGGCATCTGACTCTCGTGGCAATGCTGCAAGAAACAACCGGATTCGATTTAACTGCATGTTCCTGCGACGCCAGTTGCCTCCTCGAGCATCCGTCCCTGCAGCCTCGCAGGAATTCACTGTCCACAGTGAGGTGATGCTGATGATCTGTGCACCAACAAGGCGAAGTACAGTTCTCTGGAATCCCAGCACTCTTGTTCCATGAAGTCTGAGGGTGGCTCAGTTCGAGGAGCTCGGGCTACAAAGCAGAAAGGGGATTTCCATCTCCTCACGTGTCATAGAGCCATGAGATCCTTGTGCACGGTCTTGAAACCGAGTGGCCTCTGACGGCTTCACGATAGTATGAGCTCCACATGAGATCCCAAGGAAATCCCCCAGCCTGGGTCGGACTTCTGGCAGGGGAGGGTCAGGGCCAAACAGCCCAAGCTCTGCCGCTGAATCCACAGGCATCAGAAGAAAGTTCTCGCGCAGCGTGTCATAGGTGTCCCAGAGCCTCTGGAACTCTTTCAAGCGACCGCTCCGGCAGTGGAAGTAAGCATGCCGCCCTTTTCCGTGCACACCCACGTTGGCATATTCCAGGCAATTGAGTAGTTCATCTGGCAGCACAACCATCTCTTCTGGCTTCACAGTAACATGTCCATGGTCGGCAGTGACTATGAGTGTCGCATCCAGCTTTCTCAAATGCTCCCAGAGTCGCGATAAACTCTTGTCGATGCCTGTCATGACTGCAGTGACTTCAGGATGCTCCACCCCAAGCTGGTGCATGTGCTTGTCAGGGTGGGCGGTGTAAAGATAAACATAAGACTGCCATCCCTCTTCTTCCGACTCTGTAACACTACTGATGACCGCATCGACGCCGGCGTTGAAAAACTCAACTGCCTTTTGAGACCCCTCTGGCTGGCCCAGTGTTTCCAGCGCAGTCTCTGGGATGTTCATAACGCTCGAGCAATGCTTATCCTGGTACCAGTTGGTGAATTCTGTTCCATTGTACGCATTCACAAACTTCATTCGCCTCGAAGACTCTCCTTGTGATACCCACGGCTTGCGAATGTAAATATCCTCGATATCAAAGCCAAGGTCTGAAACCGGCTTCCTCGTTCGCATGTCACGCACTACCTGATCCAAAATGGTCAGCTGGATCGGTCCGACGCCAGCTGTCCCCGGGAACTCGCAACCCTTCTGATCTCGCAGCTCCCACCCCGGAAGGCCATGTTGACCAGGCCAGGCAGCTGTGGCAAGAGTTGTGAGTGCTGCTGGCGTCGTCGCTGGGAAGACGGCTCTAAGCTGGCGGGTGTTGTTTTGTCGGAGAAAGCTGTCGGGAGGTAGATGCTGATTCAGCGCGCTCACCCCCATTCCATCGCAAAGCACCACTACAATGTGCTTGCGAGCTTTGCCGCCGATCACCGCGGCGAGCTCCTCTGCCTTCCCGGCTCTCACCGGCTGCTCCGGGACGAGGCCACAGCACCTTCAAACAAGCACTACTGCAAGACTGTAGTTTCGGAGCCCAGGCCTTGGATCATCCCCCAGATAGTCTAGCCAACTGCAAAACTCCGAAACCTCCCTCTTAGTTCGGGGTGCGCGGCCAAGCCAACCCCACCTGGCCAGAGCGTGGGCGAGGTCTGCAAAGCTCGGCCGGTCACCGTCCAGTGGGTGGATGAATCGCCCTTCCGCAATCAGTCGCTGCAGCTTCTGCTCGTAGCCAGCGGTGCCGATGGCTTCCTGTGCTGACAGGCGTGCCTGTTTCATGGGGGGGCCCGTAGCTGCCATGACTACGCATGAAGAGCCGAGGGCAAGAGCTCTGGAGCCAAAGCTTCGAGGCCGGTCTTGTCGGCTCCACAGACAGCTCTCTGCAGCTGAGCGTGTACTGGCCTCTGCGGTTCCCTCTTTGCAGACATACCGACTTCAAGGTCATTCGAGGGGGCAGCCCTGTAGAACTGCTGAGTTGCAAGCGTACTTGTGGAGTAGAACTCCGAGGTACCTGCAAACAGTTCCGAAGCATCGGTCAGACCTACCTGAACCCCAAAAGTCAAAAAAATGTAGCACTGTAGCCGTTTGGGAGGGGGGGTAGATAGCCAGTTTCTCTAAGGTCAATTGTACGGTGCATGTTCAACATCGATGCAGGCCGAGCTGGTAGGCGTCACAAGTCATAAGCAAGCTCGCAAACAGAAGCAATTCCAATAATGACAATAACGATAACTATCATCAGGCTAATTGTCACCCACCAATGATAAAAACAACGAAAAATAACAAAGGCAACAATGCTAATCACAACAAGATTCATGATAACAATGATAAGAACAACAACACTGAAAACTATCATAGCCCAATAACATAAAAAAAATTGCAACAGCAGTGACAATCATTATATTAAGAATACCACCAACCCCACAACTAGACTCAGGCTCTGTCGAGCGCACGCGTTGTTTCGTACGATCTCGGAGTCGACATCTTTGCTGAAAGCAGCCTCCAGAAGGTCCTGAAGATCACTGACTCTCAGGCCATTGCTCAAAAGGGCCAATACATCCAAATTGCAAACTGCACCGGATCAAACAAAAGATTCGTGCCGCAAATATTACTTAGCCGACGTATCCTGACAGCTGCGACCAGATGCAATCCCGACCTGTTCCATGGCTCTAGCCCCGGCCATGCCACGAGCGTAGCCGAAGCCTTGGCAAAATAGCATTTAGATTTCAGTGAACTTCAGCAAAAACTTTGACACGCCAGCGACAAGAGTCTTTGCCAAGTTCTTCTACCTGACATGCTTGCTGTATCCTTCTGTCATGCCGTTGGTTCCAGACTGCAGCAGCTGAGCACCAGTCGCTCCAGTATAGGCTCCTCCGTGGCCATGATCAGAGCATGCACCGACCTTGCATGCTTCTACGATTCTACGCTGATGGATCAAGTTGTCGAACGGAGTCTAACGCACACTTCTGCAAGGTTTTTGGGCATGATTGGAGATTGCCGACTGCGATTCACTACATTTCTATTACTGAACATGAAGTAGCGCAGAAAGCGCAGGATGCAACAAGCCTGGGCTTTTATCCCGACCGGGCAACAAAGCTGGTGAAGGGCGGAATTGCTTCAGGAGATTGTTGTAGCGGATTGTAGCGGTGTGGAAATGGGGCACCGGCCGGCTCCCCCCGATCACAGCCGCAGAGCTTTTTCCTGTGGCAGATCATGTGGGGCTATGTTCAAAGGACGGCTGGTTGGAAGTTCATCAGACTATCATGTGGGCGCTTTTTCGGGCATCCATCAAACTTTCACGAACTTGCAGCAGTGGCCCACCTGCCCTCTGTTCTTATAGAGACATCTATCTGTCTTCGCAATCTTTGCAACATGGAACCTAGTGGGAATTCGTTCTTGTAGGCTTCGGGCCAAAGGGTCGTCATGATCTTTACCCATTCCCGTTGCCGTGATGGGCGTCCAGAGAGACACTATAGAAGAAGAGCCCATTTGCCCATCGGTCCTTCCTTGAAGGCCTTGGTGGCACGAGACCCTGCTCTCACTGCGGAAACTCACTCGCACTGCAGCAATCCGCAAACCGCCATCAGAGAAAAGCACACTGAGCGGCCGTCTGCGGCTCGCGCGACTGCACGTTCACGCAGCTCTCGCTGGAATTCTACACCTGCAGGGCCAGGGTACGAAGGTTTGCCTGCCTAAAGGCACAAAGCATGCACAAGGAGCCACCTTCAAACGCGCGTACCAGGGCACGTTGGCATTCCAGCAGCTGTTGCGTCTTCTTGTCGCCCTGGACATGGGACTGACTAGGTTGAGAGGCTGGATCCACCGCGGAAAGCAACGCCAGGTCCATCGACTCTGACTCAGCCATGCAGGCCATGCATCGCATCATCTTGTGGTGTGGACTACATACGTTTTCTGGTAGTCGAAAGTCAATACGCTCATGTAGAAGCAGGTGTGTATTGTATGACATAACTACCTGCGCATGCACAGGCTTCTTCCACCGTGTCAGAAATAAATTCCTCCAAGAAGTCGGCCTGCACAGCCGGTGCCTCGACATGAAGGAGCTCAGAGCGCCTCACACGGGCACAAAAGAAAGCATCGAGCGATAAAGCATCTACAACCATCATCGACAACAGCAACCAACAATCAACAACGACCACGAACCACCCACCACCGCCACCGCACCACCACCGCTCTCACCACGGGCGTCACCATCGCAACTAGCAGCGACGGCAAAACATGGCAATGAAAATCATCGCTACAGTTCCTGATGTGGCCGGAATTTGTTCTTGTTAGTCTTCTTTATTGTCTTTTTACTGGTACCTGTCTGATGACTACTCAAGATGCCCATCATTGCCACGACCGAGCCCTACAGTACATGGTGGCCCTCGCTCGGCCGAGTGTTTCGCAGTCGTCGGGCCCTGTGTGTGTGGCTTTGTCGGGCAAGGCTAACCGTAGGAACAACCAGCCGTCGCCGTCGCTTAAAGAAGCTGCGGTTCTACGCTGTTCTACAACCCGCGAAACTCGAAACCCCTGGTGACAGGCGACCTGTGTCCTTCATAGTCCTCATCGAAGTACCTTGCTGCTGGCTTGCATGGTGTGCCACAAGAATGTCGAGTAAAGCTCGCCACATCTTTCAGTTCGTGGCCAGCACATGCCAGCACCACCTTTCCAACAGCTCGGCAAATACTGTGCTAGGCTGCCACGCGAGTCGCCATAGCTGACAAACACCTGTCCCGCTACGCACGACATCCGCAATCAGAGTGGCCTCTAACAAGCCATGAAAGCATGCAGGCTCATGGATTCCGCTCGAAACCATATCCGCTGCAGTGAGCTGTCGCCTCTTGACCTTTGCAGAGGTCTGCCACAGCATGGAACTCCAGAACCTCGAGTGCTGGACAGAAGAAAAGCAGGCGAGGGAAGGCATGACTTGTGGAGCACCCTGCTCCGGAATGGCATACCATACGAATCCATGCTAGGTAAGACAGTGTGGCTCTGTTTCTTGCGACTCGCAGGAAGCTTAAGATCTCCTCTTTGAGGAGGCGGAACCGTAGAGGGCGAATTCAAAGCCATGCCCGGATACACGGGGCAACAGTCGCATCATTGCTTGCTGCAGCTATTGATGTTCTGTGGCCACATGAAGTATCCGTGCGCGGCTAGGTTGAACAGCTCATGGGCCCTCTTCGCGACTCCTCGCCATCGAGGCAGGACACTGTACACAAGGTAGCCGCGGACCCTTTGCATGTCAACCCGGTTCAGCGCTGGCTTCTTTGCTCAGTACGCTAAAACTGATTCGGAGCATTCGCAGTCGGAATCCGTCCAGCTCACTTTGCTGCGGCAGCTCGTCTCCGCCGGCAAATGCAGCAAACAGCGAGACAGCCTCAGCCGGCATGGCTTTCTGAAACCATAGAAATGCCCCCTGAAGAAGACGAAGCAGATTGTAGCGAGAAGCCAAACGTTGCGGGACCGCAAACTGCCACGAATGGATGGGTAAACAATAGCAACTGACAAAGCAAAGAGAAACCACCTGGCTACAAGTCGCATCGACCAGGAGTGGTGCCACGCGGATCTTTCCTTTCGGGTTCATCTTGCGGAATGCCGCAAGCTCGAACCCTCTCCCTAACAAAATAGCGCCCGAGAAAACGGCAAAGACAACACCGACCGTTGCATCCAGGACTGCGGGGTTTTGCTGATCTTCCAGGAAACAGAGCAAAAGGAGTCCGCCACCACCGGCCGCCACGGGGATCACCCACTCCGGCAGCTCATCGGAAACTTCCTAAGCTTGCGTGCCGGGGAGTGTCACTGCAGTGCAACTTCATCTGCTCTGGGAGAAGTCCTCGTGCGACTTTTCGCGACATCAAGACTCGCAGTGGCTAGCTGGCCCATGTCTGGTCAAGAAGCTACCCCAGTGCCGCAGGACCTCAGCAACGACACCCGGGTCTTGACAAGAAAAACTCACTGTCAGAGTTAGGCGCTCAAGTCTTAGTCGTAGAGTCGAGCTGGGGTCTGAACATCCGTGTCAAGCCGTGTGCCGGAAAGAGCCTGTGCAATTTTGATGAAGCTCTTTTCAAGCCTGCGAAATACAAGCATACCAACACTGAACTCACAGCCCCCACACCTACAAAATCCGTTGCTATTTCCTGCTCCAGACTGAATCGAAGCAGGGTCTTGTTTACACGCTTACAGGTGTTGTCTTGCCCACTCCACACCGGCCATGTGCAGCAGTTTGCGAGCGACACGAGTTTCTCTGCAGCCCTGGTGCTCCGGGTTGTCAGCGCCGCAAAGACAGCAGGAGGCCTGGCGGCTAGGCTGAGCGACGAAGGGAAGGGATGTGCTGCCATGTGCTGCCCCGTAGTTTTGGGAAGCTCAAGTACCTCCTTAGCTTTCCTCCATTTTTTACCGGATGCCCAAGTACTTGCGGTTGCCTTGCACGCAAGCGCCATGGAGGTGCCTTCACCTGTGGGCAAGCTGACAGGGCATCCAAATCTCTCGACAACGCTAGCCGTCTGTTTCGCAGAATGAACCCGAATATGACAGAACCCATTACAACTACTGTAGCCGAGTCAGAGACCTGCGCAAGTTCTGCTGGATCGGGTATGTGCAAGCCTGCCGGATTCGGGACTGACCTCCCATCCACAGTTTTGGGTGCAAGCTCTCATAATCTAAACCTTTAACCCGAAATCAATGCTGACTCCTAAACCAGTGAAGCTGAAAGCAACAGTTTTTGGAGAAAGTCTGTGTGCCAATGCCCTTGCCGCTGCTCCAGCTAACACAGGCGCTTTCATAAGTCACAGTCTTTTTTCAAGTGTTATATCATAAAGAGTATGCGTTCATCAGAAACCCACCGTCCTGTGTGCCCCAACACCAACACGACGTCAAAACAAGGCAAACAGAAACCAAGGCTGGGCGTCAACAGCTCAGGCTGTCAATCACAATACTGATTTTCTTGTCGTCTAGAGTGAGAAGAACACAAACAGGGTGCAGTCTATAGTCTCTTGGCTGTTTTTATCACATAGGAGCTGCGAACTTTCGTGCTATCTGATCTCTTTCGTACTGATTGCTCACATGCCAGTATTACTTGGAGCATGGTTCTGAAAATGCCAGTGGGCCCGCAATCTATGCTGTCATATACTATAATATACTACATATGATATAGAATCCCAAGACAGGATGCAAGTCAGCCGAAGGCTAAGGCCAGGACAGTCCGCTTCATCCTGGAATGTTGCGTTGCAGAAGTCGCCCACAGCATAGGTAGAACAGTTCCAATCCGTGTCCTAGGATTTCGGACTGGCTTGGCGGAGCAATTGCGCGATCTACTTCGTCCGGTGGCTTCAATGCAGCGATGTTGGTCTCTTGAACAATTTTGGAGCTTCTGCATACCGTTAGGTGCACGTCCATCATGGACCAAAGACTTGTGCGGAGGCTTCGAAAAGCTTCTGACTGAGCATTGGCAAGAAAGGAATCATTCCAAGGAGCGTTGCACTTCTCCCAATCGGGAATGTCCTCACAAGGCGAACATGCGCAGCCGGCAAGGTGAAGCGGCCGCGAAACTGATGCTCTTGCAGGCGTGGGATTGCGAACTAACCAGATCCTTTCGATTCGTTCCGGTAAAGGCACCTTTCAAGTGCCCTTTGCTGGCGACTGCGATGTAGATCCCCACATAACAACGTATTGACTCATGGCGTTCGTTGACGTGACCAGTGGAACAGCTCAAATCACGCGTGCTCCTGGCAGCCCCTTGCCGCCCCAAGCTCCGCGACTGCACGGCCCACCCCGAGCTCTGCCCAAGCCTCGGACACTGCAATTGGTTGTAGTATGTATGTATGTATGTATGTATGCATGTATGTATGTATGCATGGATGTATGTATGTGTGTATGTATGTAATTATGTATATACATATATACATATACATGTATATATACATATATACACATGTATCTGTATCTATTCCGGTCACCCATCTTGCACACCTGTGGCAGCTCCGCAATGCAACTGGAGCTTCGACGATCTTGAAACAACTTCGGCTCACAGTCGTCAAAGCAATAATACAACAACTCGTGGCAATAGCAACAACTGGTAACTGGACACGCAGAAGCTGCAGTTTTCTCCCGTTGATACTGAGCGTGGGCAGCCTGTCCAGCTGTAAGTCTGCTAGATGATAAACAGGAGCTTGTGGCTGATAGTCTAGAGTTTGCAAGCTTCGCAAAAATATTAAGGCCCCTCAAATCACCTGCGGCTGCAGGATGCAAAAGGAATTTCAACATGCCTTTTTCCGCATGGTTCCTGCAGCAACCTTTTGTGCACAACGACTTGGTCAATCTATTGAGATCGTTTATTTCAAAACCCCTTGACCCCGAAACGATCGCAGGGTGTCACCGGGTGCAAACCTGCACAGCTTTCGTGAAAGGCACATCGAGAGGCACGCCATCCCAAGTGTCCACAGTCTGAAACGAGAAGCCAGCCTTGCAAGCAGCTGGATTTGTAAAGATGCGCATGTCGCGTCTTCGAATCAAACTGACAGAAATCACGTGGACGAATCCAGTCTGCCTTCCACATATCATCATGTATGTGCCTGGCCGAACATGTGTTTGTGCCTGTGAGTGAGTTTGGATGTGCATTTCTAAGCTGTGGATGTACATATACATCTACATCTACATCCACATATACATACATACATATGTATATATATATATATATGTATATATATATATATATGTATGGTCGAACACATGTATACACAAAGGCATATTCATTGTCCTCCTCAAGGAACCGATTCAAAGTCTTTGCATGAAAACTCTTTCCGCACCGCGCCCGCCCTGAGAACACTAATTACCTGTTGTTGTGCTGCCATGCCCAACATGTATGCCAACAGCCGAAACATCCATACCGTACTACCAACTACGAATCGGTATACCATAAACACCGGCCGAAAACAAAGGTCATTTCCTGGTACCCGCAGGTTCTCATCTTCTGGTAGCGTATAATGATGGCACACAGCTCTACGGATTTTTTGGGCACATGATATTAACGTACGGCGAAAACACAAAACTACAAACAATCCTGGCATGCCACGACGCATGCAGAAGACTATGTCCAAATGCAAAAACATGTAACATGGCACTTTCTTATAGTGTAACAACTAAGTGAAGTGCCGCGATTAGTCTTGAGACTGGTGAAAACAGCGCCCATCATCGGTGAGCAGTAACACGAAGTTGATGCGAAAGCATTGAACCAGAAACACGAAGTCACGGCCAACCGCCACTAGATTCGTCTCTGTCAAGGACCCAGCTTGCCGCATCCGTGCAAGGGCTATCGAAACGATCGCTATTCTCATGGCTGCTTTGGAAGGAACTTAAAGAGCCCAGTGGCGAGGCGATTCCTCACAACGTGAACTCACAGCTCAAATCATTGTTCAGAAATCGTAATCTGAATGCTGCCGACAAACCATCGAATCCGAGCTCTCCACAAACCAAACCCTCACAACATGAAGACGTCATTTGAATGGCTATGATTCCTTCACATCATGACATTACACGTACCAACAGCAATCGGACTACCAAGATACATTCACCCGTACTGGCAAAGGTACCACCAATAATCACAAGCTCCCAAGGCTCGAAAACATGGAAGATGCCAAAAACGTCACATTCATCTGAAGATCGCAATCCTACACGGTTGCAAACGGAATGTAGGGGCGGTGTCGATTCTCATGCTCGGACTGCCAGCCACGGAAGCAACCGAACGACAACGCATCTGAGGTCCAGAACTACACAGAGCGAGAGCCTCAACCCAGGCAGAAGCCCAAAGCTTCGCAGCTAGGCCTCACATTATATGAAAGAGCCTATGGCCCAAGCTGCCCTCCAGAAGGCAAGAAGGGCAAGAAGCAAACCCACAAAACCCGAGACAGGTAAAACCCTACAACGAGACCCTGGTTGAACTGGGAGCCTGGAGCCCCCCCATCAGAATCCCAATAATTGAAACCATGCACTGCCAAAGCAACAAATCCAGTGTTTCCGTGTGAACCTCAAATCCAGCAGCGACTACTTGACTACTCTTCATCAAGCCTGCAACCTACACGGGCAGCTTGCATTTTTTTGAGTATCTCAATTGCCAAAAAAAATCATGTAGTACAGGTCTTGATGAACCGTGGGTCTCTGAAACCCCTCCGAACTACATACTACAAGCGACATAAGTCCTTTACACCACCCGACCCGTTTAAAGACACCACGAATATTTGGCACCAGAAGGTCATTCCAGCTGTTGGAAGCAGGCGATCGAACCAACTGTGATAGTGAAAAACAGCGGATTTACAAACTCGCAAACCCGACCAAATCGAAAATTCTGGCCATGATAGAGCAAACGTTTGAAACCATTAAGCCATGCCACCTTTTTAAAAGAAAAAGCTGTTTATATATAGGTTGGTGGAGATATGACAAAGAAATAAACACATATATATATGTGTGTGTGTGTATTTATATATATATATGTATATGTATATGTATATGTATATGTATATGTATGTATGTATGTATGTATGTATGTATGTATGTATATTTTAGAAACCCTGGCCATGGGCCCGCACCCACTGGCGCAAAGAGACCCCCCGGGAGGCGAAGCGCTGGTCACCCGAGGCCAGGCGCTCCCCTCGCTGCAGAAGCCTGGGCTTCGCTTCGCTTTCTGAAATAAAACGGCGTAGGGTTTCGACTCTCACTCTCGCACAAGGCAGGCAAGGTTTCGGGGTTTCAGGTTTATAGGGCCCTATATACAGATAGAGGAAGGAGAGAGAGGGAGAGAGCGCAAAAAACAGAGAGAGACAGAGAGAGAGAGAGAGGGAGAGAGAGAGAGAGAGTGCATACCTTCAAGGCGTGTATATGTACAAGTATACGCAACCATGTTACAGTAACATGTTCTTAAACATACAGTATGTTTACGTTCTACGTACGATGTGTATATAGATACATATGTAAGTAATTATGCATGTACTTGCGTAGATACGTATGTGTGCAATGCTAGGCCATGCCATGCCATGCTGTGGTATGGTATCTGATGTCATGCTATGTCGCGCAATATTCCGTTTTGCTATGCTTGTAAGTTGTGATATTGAATCTGTATGTGTGCACGTGTGTTTGCACGTATGTATGAATGAATGAACGCGTGGGTTCATGACAAGTCTGCATGCATGCAGACTTGTCATGTATATGACTATTGATGTATATGTGGCTTTCAGGTTTTGCTTCTTTCCCGCGAAGCTCATCAAAGGGCAAGAGTTTGATCTACCGCTTCTGCTCGTCCAAGGCGCTGGATGCACCTCACCGTGTCATTTTGAGGCCTCCGGCAGCAAGAAAGGTTTGGCAGGGTGCGACTATTTTGCGGCTGTGACCATGGAATTCCTACAGTAACAAGATGTTCGCTCAATGGCATGTTGACCTGGTTTTTCACTGGTAGGCACCATGCAGTTGTAATCATGCAGGCCCGGCATCGGAGAGGCTTTGTTCCCTGCCCAACACATTTGGCTCCCTCGACCTTAAAACGCCCAAGAACTACAATCTCAGACACTGAGCTCTGGCACAAAAAACTCTAATATCCTAAACTCCGTAGCACCACATAAGCACCCCTACAAGGACATGAAACCCGATGAACCCCACAAGCAACATAAAACCCTGAAACAAGCTGCAGCCGAGCGGCAGCAAAACACCGACCTAGGGGAGATATTATAAGTTTGAGGAAAGGGCCTTGGTAAATGACCAGATATCACATATTGCATATCATAATATTGTACCACATACTACACTATACTACATATTATATGTTATAAGTTGTATATTATACTTTATAGATTATAAAGTAGATTATAGAATGGTATAATGGACTATATTATGTATTACATAGGGTGCTTTCTGCAAGCAAAAGGTATCAAACAACTCGGGGAATCTTGTGGCGTGGTCCTATGTTTCAGGTCCCCTGTTTTCGACGTTACCCGTCCCCAAACACTGACATGTGATCGATCAAAACAAAAAATACACGCATGTATATGTAACACAATCATATAAGAGATATTCATTCATACATGCACATATGCCAGGTCATCGTCATCCATCCATACATGCAACCATGCACACATGCATGCATGAAGGCACAGCCGCATAGATAGATAGATAGATAGATAGATAGATAGATAGATAGATCGATAGATCGATAGATCGATAGATAGATCGATAGGTAAATAGATAGATCGATATATAATTTTATTATATATATATATATATATTTAAAGTATACAGAACATTGCTGAAATGTCAGGGTTTGTGGGGCCCTGGGGTCAGGCCGATCTGGGAGCCGATGTTCTTGATATCTGAGGTCACGACAGGTACTGGCGGGCAGTTCTCCGTAATGCTGCTCCCCTCCTATCTGTGTTTCGGGAGTGAGCACACAGCCGATGAACCCACTGCCTCGAAAGCCCCAACTAAACTGTACAGACTACGAGTACGTTTTTTCCAAGACGGCCTAGACCAGCTGTAACTGGCACCTCCTTGCAGTATTTCGTGTAGATCCCTTCCAGCAAGCCATATCCATAAAGAGCAACCAGGTTCCGTTCCTGCGGTGCAAGGCGCCCAGGCTTCACCTGCCTGGCAGCCACTGCAGCCAGTCATGAGGAAGTCACCGTGCATGTTGCAACCTCGGAATGAGCTTTCGAATCCGAAGCTGCGCCCCAGGATCACATGGCCGTAGTTCAATGTCCAAACAAGTAGCAGTTGGCAAACCACAGCGAATCCAAGTTTCCATCAAGAGCCCCATCAGCATCTGCGGAATCACCTTGGCGGAAAGACATGCCCATCTGCCGAAAGGTCAACATGCGCAGTACAAATATTCACATAATCTTGGTTGGGCGGGGACAAAGCTGTGGCCAAGGCCGTCCACAGCAAAGGGAACACCACGGATGCGCGTGAGGCATGCCTGACGGTCTGACGTGCGCATTGGTTGTTTCCCAATGTGGCTGCCGGAACATCAGCAGTCATGCCAACATGTACCAAGGATTGTCAAAGCTAGCATCATCCAGGAAGGCCTCGTCACGGAAAAATCGAAGTTCAGCCAACTTCCAGCCTGGCAGATGGCATGTTCGAGCACCATGTCATTCTTGTGCTGCCCATGTTCAAGTGACATGACAGCTAATAACTGTGAAGTTCCTAATCACAATCTTAGCGTGGCAGTGGTCACCACGACCACGGACATCAGTGAGCGGAAAACCAACGAACACCGCAGTTAGTAGTACTACCGGTCGTACTTTCAAGTCATCCTAAACCCCGCCCGAACCATAGCTAACCCTAAATCCTATACTACTCAGATCTACTGAGCTTAGATGTACTTGAGTGCTGAACAATCCTGAACTAAATTCTTACCACCCCGCATGTAGACATCTTTTGCATCCAGCCTGCTACTGCCTCTGCTGGGAACTTAATGAAGGCTCCAAACAAAGCTTCAAGCTTGCCGTGCTACAGTATGCATCAGGTATGTGGTGCTACGACCGGACCGGAAGGGACTGCAAGATCGGAACCCATATGATTGTGTGAGACCGACATTGACGCTGAGAAACTGATACTGCAATTGACAATGCTTCACAAAAGAGGTCAAGTCTGAGGCGTGAAGCTCGAAGCCAAAGCGAAACAAAATCCGAAGCCCATGTTCTTCGTCCACCCACAGTAGCTTCCATCCATAATCCACCCCCAGCGATGAAGACGAGACACTGGATGCCAAGGTACGGCAACTACTTGCAGTTACTTGCGAGACTGTGAGTTGCGACTTCTCATGCGCAGTCTGATCGAGGCAGGGCTGCAGTACCGAAACCCCGTTGTGTGAGGCTTGGCCAGGCCTGAGATGGTTGACTGGCTGTTTCCCACAACAAAACCTGGGCTCTGAGCGGTTTTTGGATTTGGGTCTTGGGACTTGAAGGGATGGGGTTTGAACTCTCGCGACTCGGACGATTTCGACTCTCACAAGGCAGAAGGCTCCAGGGGTATCGGTATTGGTTGTTGGGCGGCTGATCTTTGCGCTCAGTAGGGGGCTCGGAACTGCCGATGAGGCTACTTGTGGCCATAAATCAGAAGCCATCAAGCATGGTCCCGGTATACAATTCAAGCAAGAACCTTGCGGGTACTAGCTCCTGTGCATCTTATGTTTACCCATGCCTGGTGTCGATTTATAGGGCGCACCCTGAAGACCAGTTGCGTGTTTGTGGCTGCCCCCAGCTGGGCGAAAGCTGTAGCAAGCCTGACCGGCTAAGGGAAGCCCCGCCCGAGCAGAGTTTAAAAAAAACTCCTTTCAGGGTTGAGCGATACATTTCGTAAGCATGAAAACCACGAGAGTTAAACAGCTGAGCAAGGGAACCGGGCAAAACCCATCACAACAATCTCAAATCAAAACACTGCAGCACCAAAGACTGGACCTCCGAGAACGGCATTGAAGGTTGCCACAGTCCTCCAGCCACCCTGCCATCGAGGTCACCCGAAACGTTGCAATGCTTGTACACTGGGACAGCTAAACGAAGTGCTCGCCGCGAGAGAACCCCGACAAAATGTACTGTGTGCTTCCTAGTGCTCCGTGCAAGGCAGAGTTGCCTAGTAGTCTCTGACGGAACGATGGCCTCGTCCCACCTTTGCAAATCCAAAGCCGTGGGCCGGTAGTCCTTAGTTCAGCTTCTGACCAGTCGAGCATAACGAATTGTTGCGAGGCTCTCCGAGACCACTTGGCGCTGTGGGCTAAGCGCGGGAGATCGGATCCTGAAGTACGACTGCAGGCCTGCCACCGAAGATGGTGATGATAATGCTGGGACGATCAAGACCCAATAGTGATAAGTGATTTTAACGGTGATGCTGAAAATGATGGCGAATTCGATGATGATGGTGATGGTGATGGTAATGGTGAGGGTGAGGCGGAGCACGACGACGAATATCACTGACTCTTCTTTCCTGCCAAGTCATGTGTGAAAGAATGTGAGTACTCACAACTCCGATATTACCGGTGCCTTTTGGCAGGTTGCCTTTTGCTTCTGTTCTTGCCATCCGAAACTGTTAGTTCTGGCAATTCGTGACGTTAGTGTTGACCATCGTGCAGCAGGTCAATGAATTCTTGCCCGTCACCGTGTCTTGGTCTTGATCTCCCCCAATAATTATCTGCTTGGGCTCTGCGTCTTCTGCATGCCGGAGAGTGAGGCAGCGAACGAGGACAGGTGCCTGACAGTTCAGTGATTTGAGTCGGTCGCGAGACATCTATCATTCTGTCACAATCATAATCATGAGACTATGAGATCTCCCATGGTCAGGAACAACTTGCAGCCCGCCAACTCCATGATGCCTGCTGTGGACAAGGATCTGGCGTTGAAGCTCGAAACATGAGGGAGGTATGGTTCAGGCAATGCAGCCTGTCGAGATATGCTCCCCTCGCACTTTCTGATTTGGCATCCCATGTCAGTTGTTGCCGGCCGACTTTCCAGAACATTGCTGCTACAACCGAGAAGTGGAGTTTCTGGCCTCGAATCGTAGCCCCAGGTAAGCTGCACCAGGAGGGCATGGAGAGCAGCTCGAAACCTCAACAACAATGGCTGTAGATGGCGGAGCTCCGGACCAGGTCTGACCCACAAGATGTACGGCTCGAAGGGCAAGTAGACATCTGTCTGCCAACAACCACGCCACACAAACGCAAAGAGAGAGAGAGAGAGAGAGCGAGACGAAAACACACGCACACATGCAACAACGACATACTATGATGCATACGTCGAAAATAATAAGGAAAAACAATGCACTCTGTGAGCCACCATCATGCCAGAATCGCATCTGAAGAGCCCACGCAGTCCGTGGATTGCCGTCGAAAGCCTGCCGCACGAACCGCACAGCAACTGCAGTAGCAATAGCCGTCGTCGTCGTCGTCGTCGCAGTGATTGTAGTGGAAGTAGCAGTAGCAGTAAAAGTAGTAGTAGTAGTAGTAGTAGTAGTAGTAGTAGTAGCAGTAGTGATAGTAGTAGTAGTAGTAGTAGTCGTCGTCGTCGTCGTAGTCGTCGTAGTAGTCGTCGTCGCAGTCGTAGTAGCAATAGAGAGAGCAATAGTAGTTTTGGTTGTACTCATACGTAGTAGTATGTTTCCGCCCTCGCATCGCTAGGATCAATGCCTACTGGCGAGTAGTGGCCGTAGCATCTAGAGTAATAGTTGTAGTAGCAGCAGCAGCGTCAGTAGCAAGTGCTCTGGGATTCCTGAGTTTTTGGATTCAAGGAGTTTGGGGTTAAAGGGCCGTGGGCTGCAGCTGTTCACTTTAGGTTTGGATCTGTTTGGGGCTGGTTTGCTTTGTGGCTGAAGGACTGGAAGAGGCGTCGGCCTACCTCTTTGCAAAGCGCACTCTGCCGAGCAGAATATCATCCCCATCTGAATGCAATTACAGGATGCCCCAAAACCTTATTCTAATTTATAAGGCCCCCTATGCTCTTGTAGAACCCATAGAATACACTCCACACCGAAGCCTTAGGCAGCTCCATAGCCGCACGGCCGGGCGAATCAGCTGAAAGCCAGGACTGGGCCTCGATAATTAGCGGCATGTAGGGTAGGGTTACACTATACTGTACTATACTTTACTGTGCTATACTATACGGTACCATTCGATACTGTAGGGTCTCTTGAAAATTTAACCAAGGCCAAAACGCAAAAAGCAAAATGGGAAGGCGGAGCACTACAACGGGTGAGGGTTAAAAGCCATTTTTGCCTCTATCCTGGACATACTGCCCTGAGTGAATACCACGCTGGTCCAGTCAGATGGTACAGGAATTCAGTGATTCAGCGTGCATCGATTTTGGCATGCGGAGCTGTAGCGGTTTGACGGGTCGGGGCCCACAGGATGCACATGGCTCCGTTGAGGTTTGAGGATTCGGCTTTATTTAAGCCGGAGATATCTTCGGCGTCAAGTCGTATCGACTTTCGCATCGCGGCGGACCCGGCGAGGCAAACGGTTCGAAGCGCTGTGTCTGACCATGGCGTTGTGGGGTTTCGGTCTTGACCTGGCTTTGCTCTACTGTGTTGACATTGGCGCTATAGTTGTCCATTATTATATTGGTAATTGACTCTCGCCATCGCCAGCACTGCCCTTCGTGATGTTTGCTGTTACCGCCATGGAAAGAGACCTGTTGCTAACAAGCATTAGGTCTGCATGCATTATGCTGCAATGGCGTCTTTGAACCGCATACTCACTCTAGCAAAACAACTGATATCTATTCTCTGCTATTCCGCGATTCTGCTGGTGTTCGTGCATTGTTGGTCAATTGACTGGTCTATACCGACTAGGCTCGAGTTACAAGTGGCGCTCGATTTCCACGCTGCATCTTTTTACCATGGTGTTTTCAATTTGTTTGCAACTGACGGTTCAGATTCGTCGAGCCGGACAATCAACATATAACATATAGACCTCGTGGAATAAGAATAACCTTTACCGGCTCTATTGGTGCAACTCTTTCCACAAGACCCCAGAACTTATATGTTAAACCTTCCGTAAGCAGCGTCTTCATGAGCTGTAGACGAGGCAATGAAGCCAGCAAGTAAGCCGATCTGCAGCAAAGAGGCTGCAAGCCGTTGCTGGCAGAGGGCATCGCTGTGAAAGATCCTGGGCTTACAAGTTTCCATTCCTGCTCATGGCTATTTAAATGAAGGGATGGGGGCTTTCGGCTTCACATCTTCTTAGTCGCCTTTGCAACATGCGTATCCGCTCGTACTCTGTGGGCCAAGATCTGGCCGCAAGGTTCTTTGCAGAGCAGGCCACAGAAAGCCAAGTCAGCTAGCTCTGAATTGCTGAGCACTCCAGTTGTCCCGAAAGATGCGATACAGGAGATGCGCATACAAACGAAAGGAGCTCACGAGCGGTACAAGCACATGGCTAAGTAGAACAAAACAACAAGAACATGCATCTCTGCAAGACATGTACTTTGTATGTGATGGTGCCGTTGTTCTTGTTTGGTCTGCTTGTTTATCACTGTCTGTTTAAACTACGCCCCACCCACCATCAGGATAGGGACAGCTCGTGAACTGCCCATGCGATGGGGACCACGTCAGTGTTGACCAGGCGCCACCTCATTGGGCCGAGAAAAATCGAGAAAGCTCGGAATTCCAACAGCCTTCAATCGGCAGCAATCTAGGAGAATGGAAGTCTCCTGCGTAATCACGGTCTGCATCCTGAACTTCAAACCCTATTCCAGGATTTGGCAACTTGGGAGAACAGACGGAACCCCATTCCCTGCAGCCAGCATGATTTTCCTGCGTTCGCCAGGATGCATCAAGGACGGTAGTTTTCGAGTGCATTGCACCGTAGTCAAGTCTGATTCAAAGAGCTTTGCTCTTGCAAGCAGTAGAAATCACGTGAAGCAGCCGCGCTCTGTATAACGAACCCTTGCCGGCTTCGGTGTAGGACTAAGCCGCGTCCCAGAGTCTAATGCCTGAATGAAGGCCTACGGAAATCACTACAGAGGAGTCGGCTCCTCGGCACCGCTGAATTTGGCGAAGTCACAAACTAAGTTCCGCCCAAGTGCTCGGGTGCGGAGGCGTTTTGCGTTGCAGTGGCGAGCTGGAAAACTGTTGGCATTTCACCACAGTCCAAGTCGGGACAGGGCCGAAGTGACCATTGCACCCACACGAACCTCCATACTGATGAGACAACGGCTCCGTGTCTAGACGTGGACTGCACCAAGGTGCCCATTTTCCTGCATCAGCCAGAGAATTGTACGACTCCTTCGCGCGAAGCCAAGTTGCTCAAACTGGCGCTGACCCGCAGCCTGCTGAATCCTGTCTCCCGTGCACTCCGCAGCTATGTGAGTGCGGTCTGCCCGCCAGCTTGACAAATCCGAAAAAAGCTATTTAGGCTGCTGGACCAAGCCCGCTTGCCTACGCAGCGCCTAACTATGCTTGGCTGTACAAGAGAACGCTTATCTATGCGAAACTCTGCGTGCCCCGAGTCCTACAAGAGCTTGTAAGCTCAATGCACGCTGCCCGTAGGCAATTGCAGGCAACACCTTGCACAATCCGAAATTCTACTTCGCTGTGCCGCAGAGCAGCTGAGTAGGGGCCCATCCGAATATTCTGTCACACACACACACAGAGACAGAGGCTCGCTGGTGTGAAATGCTGAGTCTGTGGCACGCTTCCATCAAGCCAGGCAGTTCGAAGGAGCCCCCGCTTTGCTCAGCTTCGTGCTTCATGCTGGCAGCGCTGGCAGGTGATCTTGTGGGGACACCAACTGCAGCAGATCAACAGGTACAGCAATACTTGTCCATAGTCACAAACACTTTTCCCCTGCTTCCTCCCGGGACACACATCAGCTTCGCTGGCAAGACATGGTTCGGGATCCGACGTGGGGTCTGCAGTGTTGAACTGCATCCCACGATCCACAAGCAGCTGAGTATGTGGGTTGTGCCGAAGCCGACCTATTAGTTCCACCACATCCCGACACCAGCCTAAGTAGA